AAAATTGAAGGACTCAAGAAGGTCCTGTCTGCTTTAGCAGAGAGAGAGGGTGAGATCAGAGAGAGAGGAGAAGGAGTCTTAGAAGAAATACATGAAATGGTAGAGGAAATGATGAATGCTCTTCGTGAGTCAGAGAGGAAACTGACTGAGCAGGCAAAGAGGGTCACTGATGATAAACTAAAGGTGCTGTCAGAGCAAATGAAATCAGCAGAAATGAGTTTGAGTGTTCTGGAGGATGTTGAGGATTATGTGGAACAGAGTCTGAAGACAGGCAGTCCTCAACAAGTCCTGAGGTGTAAGAAACAGATGATGGAGCGTATGAGTGAAGTTACTGCAGGGATCAATGTGGAGGAGTTACACCCAAAGGAAAAGGCCGACTTTGTATTGAGTGAAAATATCAAATCGCTACATCACATTGGAGATATTGTCTCACTACAGCAGTGTAGAGTGAAGAAGATTGATCGTATTACACTTGCTGGCAAAGCAGTTTCATTTTCACTATCAATGGAGGCACCAGATTCATCTGTTTTGTGTGTTCCCCTCTCTTCTCTGAGGTGTAGTCTAGTACCAGTTGGTAAAGGTGATCAACCCATTGACACTACAGTCACTACCACCAGCACTGATCCTGGAGTGTATAGGATACAGTGTAACCCTTCAACCAGTGGTACTCATACAGTAAAAGTACAAGTATATGATGTACACCTTGAGGATACCTCACTAGTCATCCCTATCAATCCTTACCTTGATAACATCACTCCAGTACGTACTATAACTGAGCTTGAGGGTCCCTGGGGAGTTGCTGTAACTGATGATAATCATGTTATAATAACTGAGCATAGTGGTAACTGTGTAACAATACTGGATAGAGAAGGAAAGAAAGTGAAATCATTAGGAGGGGAAGGAGGAAGTGGTAATTTCAAGTTTTCTTGTCCTCGTGGTGTAGCCATTACTCCAGACAAATTCATTCTTGTATCTGATAGTAAGCACGGCCTGATCCAGAAGATAAGCATGGATGGATACCTTATAGCATCAGTTGGTAAGTGGGGCAGTGGACCACTAGAATTCAGTTATCCTGGTGGTATAGCCATTTCTCCTATAACAGGACAGGTTTATATTGCTGATTGGCGTAATCATCGTATACAAGTCTTGAATCCTGATCTAACCTTCTCTCATTCATTTGGTAGTGAAGGATCAGCTAATGGACAGTTTAAGTATCCATATGACATTGCTATTGACAGTCAAGGATTAGTGTATGTTGCTGATAGTTATAATCATCGCATTCAGAAGTTCTCTCCAGATGGAAAGTTTGTGGGTCAGTTTGGTACTGAAGGATCTGGTCCTGGACAGCTTAATGGTCCAACAGGTATAACAATAGATGCTGCAGCTACTGGTCTAGTGTATGTTAGTGAAGAGGGTAATCATCGTATATCAGTCTTCACTAGTGATGGTGTGTTTGTTAGGAAGTTTGGAAGATTAGGCAGTAATATTGATCAGTTTGGCTATCCTTATGGATTAGCATTAGATAAAGATGGATTCTTGTATGTTTGTGATAGAGATAATAATCGTCTTGTTGTTTATTAGTTATTAATTATTTCTTTTATATTGTTAATGATCATTATTAGTTAATTATATACTGATACAGTCACTGGTATGTGTACTGAGAATACACTCAACATAACTTCAATAGCACCACAATATCCTAATAACTAGGAGAAGAAATTATTTCTCCTTTTGAAACTCTGTATAATTAGATTACTTGTGCTTACTGTAAGATATATAGTGACGCATAACATATAATAATTATTATTATTAGAGACAAATTTGCAAATTCCCAATACATCAAAATACTAAATAAAGTCAAACTTAAATTATATGCTTGTTAATTATATGCAGTACAGTATATGCGTCAATGTAGTATTAAACATGTATAGCATTAATATGTAATGAATATAGTTGTATAATGTGTATTACTGGTACTTGTGAATGTATACATATCATATTACTAATATCAGTATATTCATGTACTGTGTACTAACAGTGCTGTATGTGAGTTAGTATATTATTAGTATATTCATTTACATTATTAGTATATTGTGTGTGTATTTAGTGGGTGGGTTAGTCAGTCCTTGTTATGTTCCAATGCAGAGGCCACTCTCTAAAGCAGTTTATACTTTACTAACTAGCTCCAATAGCTCAGTACAAGTATGGATTGATTATTATAATGATATAGTACTATTTGTTAAACTTATTTATTTATTGTTATTATTATTATTATTTATTGTTAGAGTGTTGGTTCAGTGAGCAGTGCTGGTGCTGACAGTGGAGTGGAACTATTGAGAAGAACAACAGCATACGTCATACCAAAATGTAATTAATAATAATAAATTAATATTAATCATCTCTCCTCCTACAGCTACCAGTAACAGCACTAATATCAGTTATGATGCTAACTCTCTTGGAACAGTAAGTGAAGGGAATATAATATTATTAGTTTATTGAGTGCCAGAATGATGCATATACCATATAGTGGAAAATTTTCGTGGATCCGTCCAAAAATCAATTTCGTGGCTTTAATTTTCATGGTTTTCTACAATTCAGCCATCTTAAACCGTATAAAATCGATTTTCGTGGATTTTATTTTCGTGGGTTTTGAAAAAAACGCGAGATCCACAAAAATTTTGGGCCACGAAAATTTTCCGCTATACGGTACATGTACTTATGTTGTGAAGAAAGTTTGAGCTGATTCTGATCAAAATTAGATTTTTTTACAAATTTTTAAAGTTGCTTCAGAATTGAGCCAAAGTCCCTGTACTATAGTACATGGTCTCAGGCCAAATTTTGCCAAAAATGAAAAGGTGAGAATTCTCCATTTTTATTACATTTTCTGATGCATATACATATTCTTATCTTGTGTAGAAAGTTTGAGCTGATTCCGATCAATATTTATTATTATTATTATTATTATTATTATTATTATTTCTAGTATGAGGTGACGTTAAAGAAGAGTCCTACATTAGGATTGGGTATTACTGGAGGTAAAGACGGAGAGAATGCCATCAAACCTGGAGACAAGGTACCCTCACTGATAACAACTAACACATTATTACTGATTGAATGAGCCTTAACAAACCAATGAGGCCAATATGAATTACCCATTGCAGGATGTGTAGCCTGTTAATATACCTGCTCTAATGGGGAACAGAAATACCTTATAGCTGGCCGTACATTATTTAGATGTTTTGGATAGCCCATTCACCATCATTTGTACATGTATACTGTAACTGATGAATATTTTAGACGTCAAATAGTCTAATTATTGTTGAAAGTTTCCGTCAATACATTTAACAGATAAACAGATTCAGTTTCAACATTAACTTGTAGCAAGTAGTGTACTGCTATTTAGACAAACATGTTTATTGAGGGACAGTTTTATTATTGTAAACATTCCTATACATTCCTGGCACTGTTTTTATGATTGTTTGTGTGCTTAGGGATTTTACGTGTTTCGACTGGTCAACAACCTACCAGCTGCTAAGTGTGGGAAGATCAGTATTGGAGACAAGATACTAGCAGTAAGGAGGGAGGGAGGGAGGGGTGGGGATAATATTAATAGATAATGTGGTTGAGTATGATTTGACGAATTGAAGTCCATTCGTCATAATTTATTCCCAGTTTAATTATGGCTCTATAGCAGCATATGCATGATTTAAGTTCTGCAAAAAATGTACCTTTTTTTATTCAATTCATCAAATTTTATCGCTAAAATATAGACTAGCTATAAATTTTATTTATTCATTATTTGTTAACAGGTGAATAGTGTTGATGTCAGTAATTTGCTAAACGAACAGTTAGTGAAACTACTGACTAGTGAAGACGTGTATGTAACTATACTGTTTGCAAGAGAACCGTCCATCACACTGTTATAGACCAGCACTCATCAATGATCCACCCCCTCCCTCTCTCTCTCTCTCTCTTCATCAATGTGTCAGCATTTTAATAACACGATTATTTTAATATTATATATTTACTGATAATTATCTTTTAAATAATATCGTCATTAATCATTATGTTGTTGTTCTTGTTATAATTTTATTTATTATTTTGTTTACTGTGACCTGCACATGAGCTCAGTTGTTGGCTACTTTTGAAGTTATCATTTCATCAAATAACTCACATACCATGAATACTGATAATGATATTCATAGACCCATTCACTACTAATTAGCTTCCACTAGTAGCAACAGATCAACAGTTTGAAATGGACTACCTTCTGCTCTTCTACTCTCTCCTGCTCCTCACTATTGTGGATCAAACTGACTCCATCAGACCAGCCACTGGTAAGCAATGACTCGAACATTATCTTGTGATTTGTGGGCTATACCTCCTCTCACAACACAACTGGTAGCTTACCCATAGATACTCTAATATCTATGATCAAGAGTGCATGTACCTACCTAATTTAATTGTATGAATATCTATCATTATATTTATCATTCATTGTACTGTTAGGTGCTGGACTATATCTATCAAGTGATCCAGATAGTTTTCTTCCTGATTATTCCATGATTGATACTGATGCACTGGGGCCCAATACCACACTGGTCTGTATATCCTCAATGAATGATACTAGCACTATTGGCCTGTGGTATTATCCTACTGGAGACCTGGTCCCAATGGCAGCTATTGATAATACTGGCCCATTCAGCAGTGTAAGAGGAACTGGTAGTGTATCACTGAGGAGGAATGATGAACTACTGGAGCCTATTGAAGGATTGTATAAGTGTATCATTAGTGATGAGACTGGAGTCAATGTAACACTGGTCATTGGTCTATACAATACTAGCTCCTATGCCCTCAATGGTGAGTCCTATTCCTCATTGCTATGGTTTGTGTTACAGTACATTCCTTTAATGTTGATACATTCCTCTGTGGGTGGGTGTAGGTGGACCAGTTACTGATGCAAACATGACCCTGGGTTTGTTTTCACAAAGTCACATGAACCCTCCAACATTTTCTCTCTCCTTCAATGTATCCAATGGACCACCCACTCTCATTACATGCTACATTAATGGCAGCCCAGTACACCATCATTCATTGGAGCGTATGATAGTCAATGGTAGTGGATCAGTTACTGGAGTATCAGTAGTGGTTACTAGTAATGAGACTGGTACTTATACTTGTACTGTATCTAATGACAGAGTATTTGATGGGACTATTAATGGGGTTACTGCAACTAACAGCACCACAACACTAGCCATTACTAGTAAGGGAACTATTATGATGATAATGATAATAATAATTATTATTATTATTGTTGTTGTTGTTGCTGTTGTTGTTGTTGTACAGGGTCTGATGCTCCAGTAAGTTTCAATGCTTCAAGGAGAAATACTGGTCTAAATCATGTAAGGCTCTCTTGGTCAGCAGTACCAGGAGCTACTGAATACGAGGTCTATCTCAGTATAATGAAGTTCTCATTGTACAGAAGTTTAGCAAATTCAACTGAAACACAGGTGGACATAACATCAGGATTGTTTGAAAAACATAATAATACATTTGATGTCATTGCTTATGGTAGCACTTCTTTACCAAGTATACCTGTTAATACTACCATTACATTAAGTAAGTAATAATAATAATCATTTATTATTTATCCCATACAAATAGCTGTTCCGACTATACATGATTTTACAGTTATTGATCGCTCCACTTCTAATATGACATTGGAATGGAGTCCTCCTAATGTTATAGCTCCAAACTCTTATAATATTAATTATCGATGTCATAGAGAATGTGATTTATCTGATCTAAAAAGTGAAGAATTTACTAATGTCCTCTCACCTCATCAAGTCACTGGAGTAGATCCATACAGTACCTGTGGTTTTGATCTCATTGGTGTCTATGGAAACGAAATTATATACCTTGTTACCAATCGTCAAGGCATGACACTCTCAGCAAGTAAACACTAATAATATGGAAATGCACTACCATTGTCCTCCCTCCCTTTCTCTTTCTCTAGCTCCTACTGCTCCAGTAGGTTCCATTACATTTACATCAGTAACTTCAGAATCAATGAATGTATCATGGGGCCCTGTACCTTGCAATGGAAGGAATGGACTCATTGCTGGATATTACCTATCATACACTGGGTCTACTCTTAATATCACTGGTAGTGATACTAGACACACTGTACTGGATGGATTAATGCCATACACTAACTATACAGTATCAGTCACTCCATATGGTGTCAATGGTGAAGAGGGTCCTCCATTGGATGGAGCCCAGTTAACAGGAGAGGGTGGTGAGTTGATAGCTAACGACAAGTTCTTTGTGATAATACTCTAATTGTCTAGTACCTGGTCCAGTACAGGGTATATCAGTAACAACTACTGGAGTAACAGATATGAGTCTAACATGGGCTAGACCACTGACCACTAATGGAGTCATTACTGTTTATGAAATAGGCTACAATCATAACCTGATCAATACAACAGATACATATATTAGTATCAATGGACTGGCTCCTGATACTAGTTACACTGTCAGGATAAGAGCATACACTAGTGCAGGGTCTGGTAACTGGAGCACTATAGTACAGTCTACCAGTGACATACGTAAGCTAGACTGTACTCATGTACTTGTACCAGTATATTGCTTCATGTGGCAGTTAATGTATAATTTGACTTGTCCATTATTGCTATTGTGTCATTTGTTTTTCTTATTGTTGTTGTTGCTTTTGTTGTCATTGTTGTTGTTATTGTTATTATTAATATTGTTTGTTCTTTTCTTGCACACAGCTACTGTTAATGGCCTATCAGTATTACAGTTGAACAATACATCAGTTAATGTCACGTTGAGGATAACACCCTTCCTGACAACTGCAGTGATAAGATATAAAGTGTACTATAGTAGCAGTGCTGGTAATGGTACAGGAACTAGTGTAGTGTTTAATGATACTAATGGAGTCATCACTGGACTGGGGACTAATATGAATTATACTATGAGGGCATGGATAATAATAATAATAAATAATGGAACCAATTATGAAGGAATGAGATCAGAACCTACAACCATACTGATTGAAGGTAATTGTTAATAATATTAATAATAATAATAATAATAATTATTATTATTATTATTAATATTATTATAGATCTAAATACTCAATCAACAACATCAATGATATCACCCAGTATCACACTAATGCAATCAAGATCAGAATCAAAATCAGAATCAATATCAAGGTCAATGATAGTCACTGAATCAAATACTATATCGAGTAACGTCAACACTGATTCGGGACTGATAATTGGCATCAGCGTGTTAAGTGGATTAGTGATTGGTCTTTTAATTGTAATATTAATAATATTAATATTAATAATGATGAAAAGGAGGAAGAGGATCAAGAGATCACTGGACATTGGAAGGTATGATAATTGATATTCATAATTATTATAATGACGTTTTAATTTGTTTATAGAGGCACTGCTTCTCCTGCTGGCATTACTACGTCCACTGTTATTCTTAACATGCACTGGTAATTCATTAAACAAATATTAATAATAATTAATTATAATCCTATAGTGGTGTGATTGAAAATCCAACATACAGTAAAGTGGAAGAGTCAATGGCTAATGGTGGATCACCACCACCAGCAGCATCAGCACCAGTGGTATATGATGTACCTAAACTGAGTGACACTGATGGACACTATGATACACCTACACTACCAGCAAGAATAAAGGAGACACCATATGAGGACATTGATGGGGAGAGGATAGACATTACCCCATCAGACTATGAGGTACCATCACTGACTCTTAATGGACACCATTTAGCAGATGATGGAGGAACCTCTATTGTCATTGATAATCCACAAACTTATGAAGTACCTTCTCCACAATACGACAGTAATAATAATGATAGTAATAATAATAATAATAATATATCACATCATATTGGTGACTCATATATGACCATGAACTAAATATTATTTTATCAGTTTATCAGTGTACATGTGATTGCTGTAATTTCAATTTAATATTTATGCATTTGCCAAATGAAGAAGCCAATATTTGATATTACATCTAACGTTATTTGTTATTTTGTATTTTAATTGCAATAGCAACGGAAACCAATTAGTGACAGAGCTGTGAAATAGCTAGCTTATAAAAGAAATTTCTCTTTAATTTCTAACATTCATCATCATCATCATCATCAGTGCTTTGTATTAAGAGTAGGGAAGAGAGAGGAGCTGACAATGGCTGAAATACCTGAAATGATTGAAGAGGCTAATGTGGCCCTGGAAGAGAACGCTGAAACTCTATCAGCAACAATGGAAGTTGACCTCAGTGTTGGGAGCGACCTTGCTGAGACCAGCTGGGTAGGTAACACAATGGAGTTAAACATGGCTGAAACCTCAGCAATGACCAAAGACGTAACCGCCAGTCTAATGTCTGATGCCCTTTCTGATGAATCATTATTTGGAAGTACCTCTAAACTAGCTAATGAGGTTGAAACTCTCATGGGGTTCCCTTATGGGGAAGAGACAGCAGCTGTCTCTACTGATGTGGCTAATGCTTCAGGAGAGATTTCAAAACTGGAGACAGAAACTGAAGCATCTGAAATGTCCAAATCAGCAAAATGGTCGAAGACTAAACTGGTGGGAAAGATCTTTATGTATGGAACTGGTATTCTCCTTGGGCTGGACTGGATTGCTGGTAGACTAGCAGGAATCATCACTACAATGATGGACGCTGACAACGCACCAAGCTGGACCAAGGACATGACTGACGCTGAGAAAGAAGAGCTGAAAGATGTGACAGCGGCTCTACCTAAACTGAGTATCATACTCCAGAGCTGGGTCAGCCAATGGAAGACTTACAAAGACAAAGACGTTGACCTGGGGACTCTGAGGGTGACCATTAGCAGCACTCCTCATGATGTACCAGTAATGCTCATGCTCTTTTATGCATTCAGAGACATGGATGGGGTAGGAACAGAATTGAGAATATAAAATATTTATTATTATTTTTGTAGATGATTACTAACACGAAATCAATATTTTCAGGTGGTACGGACTCATTGAGTGCAGCAGATGTTATTGTGGCCATGAATAACATATTTGTGGTGCTGGCTGATGCTCTTTCAGTCTATGAAATGAAGAAACAGTCAGCTTATCTCAAAGCACACCAATTTCCACCAAAGGAAGACCAAGAGACCCTGAATAAGATCATCATGAGCTTCAAAGATGGAGAAGCAAAGGTCAAAGCTGTTGGGGTCAAGTACTTGCGTTTTGCAGCCACTAATGCAGTGACAGCATATCTTCAAGTGAAAATCACCAGAGATATTTATCACAGTCTTCAGAATATTGTACTACCTCAAATGAGAGCAGCTGCTAAAGCTGCTTTTAAAGACGCAGCACAAAGTCACATGGATGATGAGAAAGCTGCTATTCAAGCACTGGCCTGGGTACCAGGGGCTGGTATATCAATGGCCAGGGATAAGATTGCTAAGGAGCAGAAGATTGCAGCTGAAGAAGGAACAGCAGCAGCTAAGAAAGCAGCTGAAGACAAGTTAGCTGAACTGAGGCCTCAAGTTGTAGCAAATGCCAAACTAGCAGCTAAGAAGCACACTGACGTTGACCAGAAGCAACTTAAAATCATTGCTGATCTTGCAATTGATAGTGCTCTGGGGCAAGTTAAATCAGCTGTCAAGAAATGAACAATTTAAAAATGACTGATACTTATTAGTAGTTAGTATAGGACACACAGTAGTAATACAATAGTTGAAATATTTCCCTTTTATAGTTATACAAACTCTAGATCAGTTAGTATGTGTTCAATGTCTTTCTGTGGGTCTCCTAGTACGTCTTTGTAGGAATTGGGTCGTATTTTCTCAGCAAAACAAAGTATCACTGATAGATCCATCGGTGACTCACCCAAACCAAGCTCCTTCATTAGTATATCCTTATTAACCTTTAAAAGTGATGATAGTTATAATGATTATGATCATTTCTATCACTCACTTTGGGCATTGTGTCTTCACCTTTCACATGCCAGACTGTACCACTGGAAGAATCTGTAGCAGTAACAGCAGTCTCTCTATAATAATAATAATAATAATAACAACAACAATAATAATAAATTAATACTCACATTTCAGCTTCAATATACTTGCAAGCAGTGATTGCCTTTAGCTGCAGTAACCTCATGAACTGATCAATGAAGAGGTCCCTTGAACCATCAGACATTGGTAACAGCATTATCTATTGTAGTTATTAATAGTTATCAGTAGTTATTAATAGTTATTAGTAGTTATTAATAGTTATTAAGTCACTTGTCTAATGAAGTCCTTCACAGTATGAGATACTTTTCCTTTCTCAAATGGAAGCAGGTCATCACTAAAACAAATATTAATTATTAATCAATTAAATCTCTTATAATGCTTACAGTGTTTTAGCGTATCCGTTGGTATTTGCTGAATTATTCTCATGCTTTCTTCTCAAGTATACAGGAACTGTTGATTCATTAGTGTAGATCTAATATACATTGATTAATAATAAACATTTGATAGGTAACAGTTAAAGTATATTACCTTGTTCTTGTCCATGTCTATCACTGTTGATGGAAACTTACTCTTCCACAAATAATCAAGAGGAAAAGGGAACGATCCATCAGGCTATGATAATAACAACAACAATAATAACAACAATAATAATAACAATATTGATGATGATAATGGTGGTTACCTTCTTCACGTATCCCTGTAAGAAGAGGTTTGGTATGTATCTTTTTCCCTCACTCTTTGATTGAGGAACAATCCGTGACATCTTACGCTCTTTAGGTGACAGGAACAGAGCAAGTGTATTTAACATCTGTAAACAACAACAACAACAATGAAAAGAACAACAACAAACAAACAATGACACCTTCATTATGATGTCTTTATCTTCTCCAAATATAACAGTGTGACCTCCAATCTGTAGGTGACAGGTGATTGCTCTGTACAATGATAATAATAATAAATTAATTAATAATGATGAATTACTCTGATAAAAAGTCAATCCATCCTTTCAATTTTGAGTTTTCAAATCCAAGAATAGTGTCGTCAACCTAATAACCATTAATAACTATTAATAACCATTAATAACTATTAATAACCATTAATGGCTATTAATAACTACCAATAACTATTAATAACTATTAATAACGTACAGTTATGTCCAGTGGTATGCTCTCATATCTAACTGAGAGCATCACCTGGGACAGTCCTTGCAACTTGTGAGAGAAATCACACAAAAACTCTTCAACTTGTTCTCCGATTAATCCTTTCACTGGCCTCTCATACTGTAAACAACAACAACAACAATAATAATAGTAATAATAATAATAATAATAATGATAATACCTTCTTTTCTTCCATTTTATTGATGATTTGTTTCTTCAGTATTGATCTTATCTTGTCTTCACACAGTGAGTATCGCGGCATGAATTCAGCCAATTCCTTATAAGGTAGTGTCACATAAAATGCAAAAAGAGCCATTTTCCCTCCTCTCAGTGGGGCCCTGAATATGAAGGAACTGGCTATTAGATCAAACTTCTCTAGTGCATAGAATTTTGTTTCAATTCCATTTATTTTGTCTTCCCTGCAAGCTTCATCTTTAATGACGTAACTTGATATCAATATCAGCTGATCCATGCTGGGGGCTTCAGGTTGGACTGTAAAAAATAAATTAAAATACAATAAATGCATTAAATACATTATAATTATGATATACAGAAAGTTTGAACTAATTTTGATCAAGTGTGGACATTTTACGAATTTTTAAAGTTTCTCCAAAATCAAACAAAAGTCCCTGTACAGTACAGGAAGGGATTTTTGTCAAGTTCACCAAAATTGAAAATTTAAAAAATTCTCAATTTTATTACATTTTCTGATACATATACATGTACTTATGCTGTGTAGAAAGTTTGAGCGGATTCCAATTGAGTTTGGATTTTTTATGATTTTTCAAAGTTTCTCCAAAATCGGACAAAAGTCCCTGTACTATAGTACAGGAATTTTTCTAAAATTTCACCAAAAATTGACAAGTAGAAAATTCCTCAATTTTATTACATTTTCTGATACATATACATGTACTTATGCTGTGTAGAAAGTTTGAGCGGATTCCAATTGAGTTTGGATTTTTTATGATTTTTCAAAGTTTCTCCAAAATCGGACAAAAGTCCCTGTACTATAGTACAGGAATTTTTCTAAAATTTCACCAAAAATTGACAAGTAGAAAATTCCTCAATTTTATTACATTTATTGATGCATATACATGTACTTATGTTGTGTAGAAAGTTTGAGCGGATTCCAATTGAGTTTCGATTTTTTATGATTTTTTAAAGTTTCTCCAAAATCGGACAAAAGTCCTTGTACGGGAATTTTTGTAAAATTTCACCAAAATTGACAAGTAGAAAATTCCTCAATTTTATTACATTTATTGATGCATATACATGTACTTATGTTGTGTAGAAAGTTTGAGTGGATTCCGAACAAGTTTGGATTTTTTACGAATTTTTAAAGTTTCTCCAAAATCGGACAAAAGTCTGTGTACTATAGTACAGGGATTTTGGTCAAATTTTACAAAAATGCTCAGATCTGCAGCTCTGGAAGAAGCACTGAAGCAATTAATTTTTTACCAACTACTGCAATTCTTTAGTGGAGGTTTCCAGCTAAAAGAAGGTATTAATCTTACATGTTACTATTTTATGAAGTGTGTGATTTTATTTTATTTTAAAAAGCAAACAATTAATTAATGTTATGATATGCAATGATAATATGAATGACAACAGCCTGGAAGAACAGGAATAGATGCAAAATTGTAGGGAAGATGGACACTCTCAGCTCACAGCTTCTTGAACAAGGACTTGTGTCAAGACTAGTATTAATTTCACTTGTCATCAGGATAGTTGATATTCCTTCAGCATATGTCTATTCAATGCTGTCTCTCATAAATGATGTAAAGTCATAACAATGATAATAATAATAAAGAAAATTATTGTTTGTGTAAAATCAACAAGCATCACAATGGCAACTAAAGAAATATTATAAATATCATAAAAAATCAACACAAACAAGAACATACAAAATTTAAAAAAACAAGGTTAAGTAGGATTCCGAACGACCAACGAAAATACGAAATGAAAATCCTACTCGTGACGCAAATTCTACTCTACATTGCAAGGTGATCCGTAATTCTTACATAATAAGATTGAAAGTACAATGTAGAGTAGAATTTGCGTCACGAGTAGGAT